ACGCATGGTATTCCCCCGTCCACACCCAGTGGACCAGTAATTTGAGGGGAGAGGGCAAGTCATTAGCCAGCTTAGAGGCACGGGTCTTCCGGCATACAGGGGTCTCGCTACCGGAGGCTACTGCAACATGACAGTTTCCACCGGGGTCTTCACAGGGGTCTCGCTACCGGAGGCTACTGCAAACATGACAGTCTTCACCGGGGTCTTTCACAGGGGTCTCGCTACTGGAGGCTACTGCAAACATGACAGTCTTCACCGGGCTCTCTCAGGGGTCTCGCTACCCGGAGGAAACTGGTAATATGACAGTCTTCACTGGGCTCTTCACAGGGTTCTTGACCGGTCTCTTTCTCCACCGGGAGGCTACTGCAAGCATGACAGTCTTCATTGGGCTCTTTCACGGGTTCTTGGACCGGTCTCTTCCCACCGGAGGCTACTGCAAGCATGACAGTCTTCACCGGGCTCCTCACAGGGGTCTCGCTACCGGAGGTTACTGGGGACTGCATGACAGTCTTCACCGGGCTCTTCACAGGGGTATTGCTGCCTGAGGCTACTGTGTTTATGCCGGAGGTATTTGGGATTGCCAGGCCCTTAAATCGTATACATTCGTCCTCTTCCTCAAGAACAGCAGCACTCTGCTTCCTGGGTTTTAGCTCCTTTTTCAGCCTGGAGCGCAGGGTCTTCACCTCATCATTGAGGGCATCCTTCTGAGCCCTCAATGCCACATTTTCCAGCATCACCTGCCTGCAGTCCTCGTTGTCACACTCGGTATGTGGGGAGAAGGGTGGAGGGGTGCCCGGGGTATTCCTCCTCATTGTCTATATCCAATGATGTAGCCATTCCAATGATGGGGTTAGTCTCACGGAGGTCATGGAGCAACTGCAGTGCCACACTATGCTTCAGCCTTGCCATGACCTGATGTGCCTTATGTCGGGACAACTCAGGGTGGTCATGTTTTACATGACGGTCCAGTCTCTTCCCAGCGTACGAACACCCAGCGATGGGACAGGGTTTGGTCCGAACATTTATCCTTCCACTGGCTATTTTCAGGAGGATTCCCCTCTCCTCCAAGTTCCGCACTGCATGCTTGTGCTTAAGGTGTTTGTTCAATGCCAGATAGAAGAGTCTGCACACCGGGCATTCAGATGACATCCTTCCTGAAACACACATAATGATTTTGATCAAAATTATGTTATAGTTCTCCGTTTATATGCGTTAGCGTGAGCGGTGGTTGCGACACTGGGTCCGATGCATCAATTCATGGTGCATGGACGAAGGGAAGTATTGGGTTACCACCGGGTCAGATGGTCCCACTTCCGCACCAACGCGGGGCTGGTGATGGCAACATTGGGTCCGATGCATCAATACATGGTGCCCCGACCATGAGAGGGTTTGGGGTACCCCGGAACCAGGCACCACCCCAGCAGGAAACGGGTTGTATGGTCAAAGGAGGAAAGAGTGATAGAACCGGGGTAAAGCAAAGAAAGTGTCCGACAATAGTGACTTGTGAGGCGGCCAGAGAGTCTGTCATATCTCGGTCCTATCCTCCAGGCAACGCTGTGGCCAAAACTGGGCTAAAAACTAAAAAAACTAAAAAATATTTCATCCAGGGAAATTTGGGTGAAAATGAAAAAAAAGTACCCCAAAATAGTCCTTCATTAGCCAGCAGCAGTCCCCTGTCGACTCATGTGACATTCCTCCAGGGTTACATAGAACCAGGGTGTGGGCTCCGAGCCATCTCCGAGACATCTCTAGTCCGTGTTGATAATGGGGGAAATGTACCCCAAAATAGTCCTTCATTAGCCAGCAGCAGTCCCCTGTCGACTCATGTGACATTCCTCCAGGGTTACATAGAACCAGGGTGTGGGGCTCCGAGCCATCTCCGAGACATCTCTAGTCCGTGTTGATAATGGGGGAAATGTACCCCAAAATAGTCCTTCATTAGCCAGCAGCAGTCCCCTGTCGACTCATGTGACATTCCTCCAGGGTTACATAGAACCAGGGTGTGGGCTCCGAAGCCATCTCCGAGACATCTCTAGTCCGTGTTGATAATGGGGGAAATGTACCCCAAAATAGTCCTTCATTAGCCAGCAGCAGTCCCCTGTCGACTCATGTGACATTCCTCCAGGGTTACATAGAACCAGGGTGTGGGCTCCGAGCCATCTCCGAGACATCTCTAGTCCGTGTTGATAATGGGGGAAATGTACCCCAAAATAGTCCTTCATTAGCCAGCAGCAGTCCCCTGTCGACTCATGTGACATTCCTCCAGGGTTACATAGAACCAGGGTGTGGGCTCCGAGCCATCTCCGAGACATCTCTAGTCCGTGTTGATAATGGGGGAAATGTACCCCAAAATAGTGCATCATGACTCAGCAATCATCACACTCAACTTTGGTGAGAACCGGGCAAAGGGGTCAAAATCCGTCAATGTGGGGGGTGAAACGGCTGTACGCGAGCCCTGGGGGGGGCACCCGGGACCGGGCAGTGCCCCCGGCAGAAGGAACCGGGTCAAACGGGCCAAAACAGGAAAAAAAATAAAAATAAAAAGAACCAGGCAAAAGGGGGGAAAATGGGAAAAAAGTGTCCGAAAATAGTGCCTCATGACCCCGCAGGAGTCCCCCGCGGACTCCCCTGACATTCCTCCATGGTCGAAATCATCCAACTCAACTTTGGTGAGAACCGGGAAAAGGGGTCAAAATGTAAAAATTGTACCCCAAAATAGTGCCTCATGACCCCGCAGGAGTCCCCCGCGGACTCCCCTGACATTCCTCCATGGTCGAAATCATCCAACTCAACTTTGGTGATAACCGGGCAAAGGGGTCAAAATGTAAAAATTATACCCCAAAATAGTGCCTCAAAATCGGGTAGAGTCACCTGGAAAGTGCCCTCGCATTCCTCCATGGCTCAAAATGTCGAACTTAAACTATTTGGAGAACCAGAGAAATGTAAAAAATACGCCCCAAAATAGTGTCTCAAAATCGGGTAGAGTCACCTGCAAAGTGCCCTCGCATTCCTCCATGGCTCAAAATGTCGAACTTAAACTATTTGGAGAACCAGAGAAATGTAAAAAATACGTCCCAAAATAGTGTCTCATAATCGGGTAGAGTCACCTGCAAAGTGCCCTCGCATTCCTCCATGTCAAACTTTAAGTATTGAGAGAACCAGGCTGGGGGGTCCTTGCGCCACAAAATTAGGCCCACTCAAAGTGCTTGGTGAGCGGATACATTCTTCCATGATTTGCAACAGCCGTTATTTTTCTGAGTGCACCCAAAAACTGGGTTTCCGATTTCGTGCAGACGGTAGTTTGAAAAGTATGGATGAATCTTTTTAACAGAGAAGTGGAAATGAAGCCCAGGGACTTTTTCCCCTTCTCCGTTGTACCAACCATCGGAGAAGGGGAAAAATCGGCCTGAAGCGCCAATAGTCTGGCCCCTTCTCCCGTTGGCACTCTGTCATTTTTTTGACAATTTTTCAAAACTTCATTTTTGATTATTTTAAGTTATAATTAAGCGTTTTCTTCTTCAATTTTTTTTGCTTTCCACGGGTGGGGGCGCCTGGCAGGCCGCCTATGAGCACCCAAATTCGGCCTGGATCATCCAGGATTTGTGGGCTAAGCTCCATAAACTGACTAAATCACCCAGAGAGGTCACCTTTCTAGCCCAAATATATATAATACAAATACATTTAAATAGTAAAAGGTGCACTTGTGCTCTGCATTACCCGGAATTTTATTTTCATAGCCCCATGATAGTGATTAAAAATCATTTTCATGGGAAAAAGTGTTAAAACGCCTGATTAAATTATATGCAGGACCCCAGTGAGCTCCAGACTATGTGCATTGTGTTGGGGAACCATATAAATGATAGAATAAATGCATTTAAATGCAAAAATAATGATTTTAAATCATTTTAGGGGGACAATTGTGGAGAGGAGCCTGAAAATGACTCTGCAGCAGGCTGCCTATGAGCACCCAAATTCGGCCTTCTTCACGGAACCACGACCCCTTCTGTGGAGGGTATTCTCGTGCCCCTGGTGAGCACACAATGACCCAGGAAAGAGTCTTCAAAACACAGGTAAAACTGTGTTAAACAGTGGGGTAACATGTTTGAAATGACAGCACACTGCTGCTTGTTGGCAGCCTGACTCACTTGACTTGTCTCACACACACCCAGGGGGGGAGAAAGAGGACACATTGACCCAGGAAAGAGTCTTCAAAACACAGGTAAAACTGTGTTAAACAGTGGGGTAACATGTTTGAAATGACAGCACACTGCTGCTTGTTGGCAGCCTGACTCACTTGACTTGTCTCACACACACCCAGGGGGGGAGAAAGAGGACACATTGGAGCACAGAATGACCCAGGAAAGAGTCTTCAAAACACAGGTAAAACTGTGTTAAACAGTGGGGTAACATGTTTGAAATGACAGCACACTGCTGCTTGTTGGCAGCCTGACTCACTTGACTTGTCTCACACACACCCAGGGGGGGAGAAAGAGGACACATTGACCCAGGAAAGAGTCTTCAAA